TCTCATGGGAGGAGGAGAGAATGGGGATTCCAATTCTATTCAACCAAACTGTTGGACCATTCTGATTTCAATTCCAGACCCTTATTCCTATAAACCAAACAAGCCTTTATAACCTAAAAATCAAAACACTCACTGATGGATGAGAAGAATGATTAACCATATATTTCTACGGGGAGGTCTTTTTTTAAAAGAAAAAAAATCAACGTAGGGGTGGTAGGTGATTTTTTTATGGTGAAAAAAATGAAAGAGTAATCAAGAATATTCGGTGAAGTTTTTTTGAAAACATATAGGAAAGGTCAATGAAAACTACCCTAGAATAGAAAACTTAACAAAGGCACAAGTCACTAGAACGAGCCCGGATCTTCTGTCCACGAGAATCCTGCCCACGTTTATCAGTCACATATAGAAAACATCTCATCCTCTACATAGTATTATGCAGGGAGAGATATTTTCAATTCATGAGAATAGTATATTGTAGGTAGACGTGAACAGGGTTCTCGTAGACAGAAAATCCGGAGTCCACTAGAACAAGCATACGATGACTCTTTCTCTGAAATTTTAGTAGAAATTTCTGAACTAGACCAAGCATATATATATATATATATATGAGATAGCTACTCTTGGAAACTTCTGTACAAAATTCTTAACAAATGCTTAACAGCCTTCAGCCTTGTAAAAATTCTTTTCTAGATTGCAAAATATTCATAGAAAACTGGGCCAGAATCACCAATTTGGTTGAACGAGGAAAAGGAGACTAGGTCCTCTGTTGGACCCACAAAATCAAAACTAGTGAATTAGTCAATGAGGATGATATAAGCATTGAATTATAACAATGGACCTACTTTAATTTAAATTTCAGATTTAAGTGCGTAGGTGATAAAACTAGTAGGTTAAACCAGGTCAGTTGCCCAGACACCGATTAGACCAGACCGCAGTAATGGGGATTGGGGGACGTTTGGTCAAGGTTTCAAAACATTAATAAATTCTCTCAAATATCGTATATATCTCTGGATTATGGAAGTCATGAAATTTAGAAACAAACATTTCCCATTCAGGTGGTAATCTGTTAAATAGAAAAATATTTACCAAAAAACATCATCAATATTGCAAGAAAAGTAAAGTTAAATAAAATAGTAATAATAACTTAAATTATATCAAGAAACATATTCCAACAATTGAAAATTTTGTTTAATTTCTCCAAAGAATGTTCGACCAGAAATAGAGAAAATTAAGCAATACAACCGCAGAGAAGCAAAAGCAAATGTTTACAATTCATCATCATGAAATGAATGAGAGAGAGAGAGAGGGGGGCATTAATGCAGGGTTCTCCCCCATGTATGACAAAGAAGAAAGTGGCAAGCATCTTGATTGCAAGACCATCTGATGGTCATACCATCATGCCATTTTATGAAATTTTGAGTGATTAAATTTTTTATTGAACAAGTTGCATTTTTTTTATTTGTATTAATTATTTTAAGGTAGTTCTATGATACCAGAAGAGCCTTGATCAATCAAAATCCCCATGAATCTTGATAAATACCAATCAACACAAATTAGTGTTGCAGAAAAAAAAAAGATTAATTACCCTTTTTCTCTTATGTATGTTGTAAAGATGTTAATAGCTTGGTGTATTCTTTCTAATCAAGTCATCTTGGCAATTTGGCTTTGATAGTAGTTTGATGAAGAGAAAATAATATATAGTTACTTTGTTTCATTCATTATCTTCTTTTCCCTTCTTCCCTTCTTTAATCTCAGTTTGGAAGGAGTATAAATACAAATTTATAGAGAGCAAATACATACAAAATAGGTTTTATGCTCTACAAATTTGCATTTGTACTCCTTCCAAACTCAGCCGTACAGTATAAATCTTACATTTTGTATGAATTTATACTGTACATATTTATATTTGTACTCCTTTTAAACTAAACTTTGAAAAAAATACAAATATAAATACATACAATACAAATGCATACAAATAATACAAAATACAAGGTTTTGTATAGTCTACGTATTTGTATTTGTACTCTTTTCAAATGGAGCATTAATCTCATATATTTGCATTTGTATGGTAAAAATTTAAAAATTCATACACTCGACTCTACAGTTTACAGTCTACACCACCTTTAATTAATATTAGTATTAACTTATGCAAATAATTGACTTAATATATAATAAATTGGTATCGAAGACTCTCTCTCTCTCACTTTCACATGTATTATTACAATGTACTTGTGAAAAAGTACAAAAGTGTATTCAACTTTGTACTTCCATATATGACCTTCTCAAATCACTTCACTGAATTATTGTTCATATTACCTGAGGGCTGAGGGTTAAATTAATTATATATATATGGAAATTCTTGAAATAATATGAACTAATTAAAAATTAGAAATAATCGCCACGTATCGACAAGCGACACCTGTCATTGACAATACAAGAAAAAAGAATGTTTATGAAGAAATAAACAAGGGAAACTTTCACCCATAGAGAAAGTCAATGTGTCAATTTGTTTAAGAAAAATATCGAGTCTTTGTTGTTTATGAGAGAGCCTTTTCTTTCTTTGCTTTTCCACGTGATTTCCTCCTTTGAAAAGAAGCTATATTTTAGGGAACATTAGGAAACAAATAATGCAAGAAAAAGAAAAAGAGAACAAGGTGTAAGAAAATCATGAAAGGAGATACACCCAATCATCACCCCCTACGTTGACACCAAGAAATTGACACTCCCAAGCAACGGTTGAGTGAAGGAAAGATATGGCCTATCTGTTTGGAAAGAGATTTCAAGGTTAATGTATTTCCTGTTTAGGCAGAACAGTCTTGAAACTGTTAATACAAGTATTTTACTCTTAGCAATAATAGATAGCAGTTCTTCACCTATTGTTGGAAAATGGGGTCACTGTAATTTTGAAGGAGAAGCTCTGAGGCGCATCTGAAGATATTGTCTTTAAAACGTTATTTGCCCCCACTTAGTTTCACTGAGTTTGCTGTTGGGTTAGGAAAATCCGTTCCCAGGATACAACAAAGCCTTGGGCGAGAATCTGTAACCAGCAAAGTTGAAAAATCTCTAGAGAAACCTTCTGTGAGACTGTAACAGACCGGACTGAGAGAGAGAGAAAGTGAATTTCGAAAATGTGTGTTTTTAAAGTCTGATTCATGCTCCTTAAATAGTTTATGAAGAGGTATGAAGAAAATGTAGGTGCTAGTTTAGAGAAGGCACCTTGAACAGTCACAATTTCAAACATTATGACTATTTAAAAAGTAGTTAACAGTTAATGATTGTTAACTTTGAATTGTGCCTCTTGATCACACCCGATCGAATCATGACCATTGATCTCATCAACGGTGATCGACGGTCAACATCGCACCAAAACCAAAGCCGCCCTTTGCGAACCACGCGAATAAGAGCAAAGTGCACCTCTAAAGCGCCTCATTGCGCTGCACACACACATGCACGTGCATTGAGCAGTATCAAACCCCCATACTCTCCTCTACTATTTCTAATGAGTGTAAATCAGCTCCTATTAAAATACTAAAAACAAAGCTTATAATTTTCCAATATGGGACAAGTTCAAAACTGGGTTTTGCAAGAGAAACTAATTTTTCAATTAAATGTGTAGGTGCAATTTCTCATGTAATTGACCATTCAAACCCATTGGATTTAATCTCTTATGAGATTAAAATCCAACACCTATAACCCTCTTCCACGTGGCAAATATCTAGGAAATCTAACATTTTTTATTGAAGAAATCGATTGGAAAAGAAAGGGAACTCATGATCTATATATGTCAGAGTTCAGATTGGCTTCCCATAGAGCACACCCCACGACACATCCCAACCATACATTTGAAACATCTCTTATACTTGTCATGGGTGCTATGGGGTGCGTGTGGAGTGCGTTTTATAGGGCTCTCAAATGGATGGTGCTGATTTAGGGGTGTTCCATACCATGATTGGTTTTGTTTTTGAAAATAAAAACAACTGCCACATCAACAAAATCATACTTCCTTGATGTGCCATGTCAACCCTATAAAAACATAATATATATAACGTATTTTTCTTGAAAAAATAAATAATATTTGAAAATTTTTGTACCTTTAAAATTTTGTATTTTAATATTAGGATTGCTAAAAGGAGACATAAAAAGACATACAGATGGTAAGAAAGAGACTAAATAAAGATGCCATAACTTTTGGCATGCTGAATTTGGATCCAAGAAATGATTTGGGTTGTGTCAGAATCATTAGGCCATCCTCTCAAATGCTCACATAATCATTCTTCTTCCCACGTTAAGAACATATATAGATTCTTCATACATCGTTGGTATATATGACACATATGCTCTGTGTATGCAAAACTGAATTTATCATCATCTACAATACAGATCAACATGGCCCACATGGAAATCTTGATCATCAATCTCAAGATGGATGGTTAAGATTCAGCTGCAATTGGTGTGATTTGTGGGTAGGGTCACAAATAAACAAAGGGGGGGTGGCCCACATCTGGAACATCTTTGCCAGATGACAAAGTGCTAATTCGCATGGAAAAGGTCCACAGAACAAACAAGTGGGATATTATTGTTAATTAATAATAAGTTCAATCTACTTGACAACTAGACGAAACCCATGAAGGAAGAAAACGAGAGATTATTTGATTTATTCATATAAAACTATTTATACTTGGACCTCATGAAATGGTCAAGCTAGGGATGCTGCTTCTTGAAGGTTCAAGTTTAACTTTTGCGCGTTTATTGTAAACGAATTTTTTTTATCTTTTTAATTGAAGGGTTTGATAATCCAATTGAGAACTACGGGTGACAAGTCTTGGAAGCTATCAAAACACTCATGAGACCTGTGGTCCTCCTATGAGTATACCTCAAGGTAGAATTCCAGCACATTTCTCAAATACTCTCTCTCTCTCTCTACAAATAATAAATATATTAATGTAGAGACCACACAACACATATAATATATGTAGGCATATATAGAGAAACACCTCCAATGGCACTATGTGCAGATATGGCATCTACAGTTGTAGAAAAAGGAATATAAAGCTCCCATGATAAATGTTGAACTAACCAGTTGAGAGGCTGTGGTTTTTGAGATGGGCCATCACTGTTGCAGCAAGCAGAAAGTAAAAAGAGGGCTGTGGTCACCTGAAGAAGATGAGAAGCTCATCAGATACATCACAACCCATGGCCATGGTTGCTGGAGTTCTGTTCCAAAGCTAGCAGGTGAGGTCTATCGATCTTTCATTTCATTTCATCTCTAGCTAGCTCTTTGTTTTTTATTTTTCTTGTTTCTCTCTTTGATTTCCTTAACTGATGAGCTCAAGGTGCTATTGCAGGGCTGCAAAGGTGTGGCAAGAGTTGCAGGTTGAGATGGATCAACTATCTGAGACCAGACCTCAAAAGGGGTTCTTTTTCTGCACAAGAAGAACGAATCATCATCGATGTTCACAGAATTTTAGGCAATAGGTGCGCTGGATGCCAATCCTTCACACAGGAAAAGCAATGTCCTACTCAGATTTCTCCGCATTCTAATTGTATATATAAATATATATGTGTGTGTGTTTTCTCTCTTCTCGCAGATGGGCTCAGATAGCTAAGCATCTACCAGGGAGAACAGACAATGAGGTGAAGAACTTCTGGAATTCATGCATTAAGAAAAAGCTGCTTGCACAAGGGTTGGACCCAAAAACTCACAATCTGATCTCCTCTCATCACACCACCAATAATAACAATGCATGCAATCTCCTCCATACCCACCAGCAGCCCATTTTTACTGTAGAAACACAGACAAGAGAGAGATCCTCCATAACCATTAATCCACCTTTCATTACATTGCCACCACCACCACCACCACCTCCTCCTCCTCCTCCTCCTCCGCTTCATCCTATTACCACTACTACAACTACTGCTGCTCACCATCCTCCATTGCATGAAGCCATAACTAACCCAATCTATGATTACCAAAACCCAAATCTTGTTTGGAATGCTAAAGCTCAAAACTTACTTGCTTCGGTTGATTTCGTTGGTCGATCTCCAATGGATAGTGTGCCCATCTCTTCTGCAACGAATCATCCATCTGGGCTTGGGTATTTAGAGGAGAACTGCATATGGACTACCAGTGCTGAACCCTTTGAACCCCCAAAACAACAAGAAATGCAACAATTACAGCAGCAGCAACAGCAGGAAGTTTGTGATGTGGAGTTCGATGATGCCAATGAAGTTAAGGGCAGTCAAGACATGGAGACTTCATTCAACAGCTCCAATTTCGATATTGATTTTGTGGATTCTACAATGATGCCTTGTGGAATGTATTGCACTTCCACCTCCATGGATCAAATTGCATGGGATTGCTAGGTCTTTTTATGTATTCTATTAGAGTTTGGTTGTGGCTGTGTATTCTAAAATTCAAACACAAGGGCTTGTACATGGGTTCAAGGACAGTATGTTTTTCCTTCAATAACACCTCTCTCTCTCTCTCTCTAGATCCCTAGATTTCTCTCTCTCTCTCTCCAAGACCATAATAAAAAATTGTAGTAAAAGAAAAACAAAAAACTTCCCTACAATAGCTTCTTCCCAAGGCAGCATGCATGGCTAAGGAGACTGAAATTAGACAAGTTGGTTTGTTTTTTCTATTGTTTTGGCTTCAGCTTGCCTGTTGTTATTAGATGCGTGCCACTCCGTGTTAGGCCACTCTACCATTGAAATTTGTCTCAGACCATCTGGCGAGGAGTGGGCCTGCTGGGTCTTTGGCCTTTAAAGGCACGAAGAAATGGACCTTTTATGTTATAGTCAATAGTCATCACTTGGCTCCTGTATGCCCGAAGATTTGAAGTCGATTTTTTTGTGCCAGGGCCCATGGAAGCGGGAGCGACAATTCTAAATTCTTGACCCCATCCCCAGGTTTTTGTTTAGTTTGTGGCTTTGTGCTCCCTTACATGCTACACCCCTTTAATAACTAAGTTGTATCTAGTCCTATCTAACCCTCTCCATAGGTGGTCTGCCCGGATGGTTCAACCATGTTGAGACTTGAGACTATCACCCCAAACCCAGGCTGGCCTTAGACCAGGGGTTCCGGCTCCAAAACCATATTGCAGTTGAAAATGGATATTTTCATTGAATGAGTGTAGCTAAGTTTACATGCAAACATATATGTCTGCCAGTGCATAGGATATGTTATTTTACTTTTGTTTTTTTTTTTTCATTTTTTCGTATTTTAATTTTCCTCGTTTCGGATGGTTCAAAAATCAAACTAGATGGTCCGATCACCGGAATTGTGAACCGAGAATTCGAGGGAGGCTCAATGCTGAGACACCCATATTTTCTAGGTCCATGTTGTCAAGTATCGATTCACATGATGCAATGATCCATGGGGGATGAGTGATGAGTGGTTGGCTGGATGGGATTTCACTCACATATGAGCCAGCAGAGCTTATCAGCATTGGGTCCAGCCTCCTCTAGGGATGACTTGGAGCGTAGGGCAAACCATCCTAATTGCAAGGAAGCGTCACCCCTAATATTGTATGACTTAATGAGGCAGCATGAACCAGTTAGCTACGTACCTGACCCAGAAACTTAACCTAACCCATGTCGAGATTGGGCCATGTTATTTATTGTTTCGGACCAAGCTTGAAATTCAGGCACCATACCCAACTATCAATCTACTATCATATGAGATATTACTGTAACACAGTTCCCTATCCAGGCCCAACCCATCATTGAAATTGCTAACTCCAAGTTGTCTAGTAACAATATATCCAAGCCCAGGCCCACTGCAGGTGATTTTGGCTCAGTGATAACTGATAACCCAAGGGAGCTGTGACCTACAGAACTAAAGAGCATAGGCCAAGGCATCCGGGACAAAGGAAATTCTCCAACATTTCCTTCAATCATTTTGCAGTGTCCTCCATTAGTTGGTTACTTCTAAGCTAAACCAAGAGTGTAGTTATTGATTTCCTACAATAATAAATATTGCTCAGAGGTTTGAAAGAAGTGGTTTAAATTTACAGATCAGATGCTTAGTGAGAGAACTATGTTTATTTGGATTTTATGGTAATTAGACTCATTAGGCCTAATCCCAACTTAGTCTTAGATTAACGTTGTAGCAGATCAGTTGTTTGCTTAGTAAATCTTTTGATCCATAACTCGAAGTACCACAGGTTGTCAGAAAGCATATTCACTAAGTGTTGTAGTTTGTTTAACATTTCATTATTATTGTTAGAGATGAATCATATGCATCAATTGTGTTGAGATGGCCGAGTTGGTCTAAGGCGCCAGATTAAGGTTCTGGTCCGAAAGGGCGTGGGTTCAAATCCCACTCTCAACATTTTGGCATTTTTAAATTTTAAATTTAAACAAACCGGAACCATAACCATTTTGAATTTGTGGCTATTTTTCAGTTTTCACCAAAACGGAAAAAACCCGACCCAAATAACCTTTGAACACAAAACATAGCTGGAAAGCCTGGAATGCTTGTTGGCAAACTTTATAGGGCCTTCGGGCTGGGCCCATTCAAATTTAGACAAAACCTCAAGACGAGCCCATGCATCCAAATTGCATACCCTTAATTTTTCTCAAGACTCTGTTTGGGTAGAATGCAAAATCTTGTATTTTGTATTATTTTGTAAATGGTGTAGAGACTAAATAGAACCGGGACCCAGCCAAGTGATGGATCAACCTATCCAACCAGTTGAGTCGACAACAGATTGACCAAATCCTGATCTGGATATGGATAAATCAACCTTAATTTTTATGGAATGTGGGGTAGTAGATTTAGTATGTGTTTGGTTCCGTTTATATTTTTTCATTCAATATTTGTACTTTATTTACTTACAAAACCGAGAAAGGTAATAATTACAACTGTTTATAACAACTAGGTGCCACTAGGCACCACATCAGAATAACAGTGAAAAAACGTCTAACCCTTTGAGTAAACTTTAAAAAATAACTTCCCAGCCCAAATGTTAGGCATGCACAGAAACAAAAGTCACCTTTTACTATTCTCAATAAGTACAAAAGAGCATGAGAAGAGAACTGGTGAAGTAACACTTATGTGGCAGCATTTATTGAATAAACGCCCACGGTTCCAAACACTCTCTTAATTGTAATCGCGAGTCAAATTTCGATAATTTATTAAAGATGGGATCCCGGATCCGTTTGGGAAGTGAAGATGCTGTATACATATACACTTTTCAGTATTAATTAATTGAGAAGCTATAATAGAAAACGACTGCATCACTCTCATTCTTGAAATGTATACACAAAATAGAAGACAGAGAAACATTTCATCTGAAGACGATCCCCCCAAAACTTTTTTCTGCCTTTACAAATCACAATAGCTTTCTTCTTTCTATTATTAATTGATCATTAGACTCCTTTTCAATATGTATCCTATTGAATTGTGGTATTACAATACCTGTAGGAAAGGGGAAAAAGGAAAAAAAAAAGTATCAAAGTCATGTGGGTATTTCAGTGTAATCTAAGAATTTATACTCCCTCTCTCTCCATTAATTTCTCAGTTGTTTTGATTGTTAAAACAACTTGTATTGTCCTGAGTTAGGTGGATTTCCATGGATGTGATGTTGCTTGAGTTGTTGCAGTAATCTTGTAAGGATAGAATCATTGAGTTATCTTGGGAGGAACACATGTAGAAAATCTCCTCCAATATTATATTTGTGTCACTATTGTAAGTTCTATACTTGTCCGGCATCATATATTCGTCCATGGCTTGAGGGTTTGATAACTTGGTTTCCAATGTATCCATCTGTGGGAAGTCTTCTAGTGCCAAGGGTGGATAAGAAAGTTGTTGCTGCTGCTGTTGTTGTTGTTGCAACCTTGTGCAGTTAGGCAATACTGTTATTTCCTGCATTAATTACACCAGAGATAAAGTGAAATTCAGTACTTGAGCCAGAAAAATGGCCAACAATACACAGAGCAAGTAGCTCCCATCAAAGCCAATGAATGGTTATATATGAAGAAAACCTCAGAAAATGAGCAAATTCATTCTCATGGCATTACAGAAGACCATGAAAAAAGAAGAATAAAGGGACCTTTACTGTCAGGATCTGATTATCAAGTTGGTTTAAGAAACTTAGTTCAGAAAAAATCAAGAAAACTTGGGTTTTCATTCACCACAAGATGTAGAAAGAAAAATAGGTTTGCTTCACTGTTTATAGAATAATAATTGTGTACATTCTGAATATTCTCATTATGGATCCACCAATCACTGATCCCATCTATAGAACTTTCTTAGACCAAAATCAGTCCTTATTATTGATGACCCTACCATTCAAGTAATTATGGAAAAGCACAGAAGAATAGGACTCTTGAAAAGCTTTTGTAAGTCTTTCTTTTTGGGGTTTAGTTCCACTGATTGACTGTTTTTTAGGCTCTACATCCTAGAAAAAAGTAATGTCATGATAAAATGCAGTCCAGGTGTTTTATTACACTGTATGTGCACAAGGATCCAGGATGATCAGGCTCAACAAAACAAGAGAGAGGTTACTCACTCAAAATTCAAGTATGAAATCTATCAGGCCAAAGACCTAAAGCTCACTTATCAGAGGAGATATGAAGTTCTTTTTCTTCTTTCGCAGATGGTTAGGAATGAAGAATAATAAACTACTTTTTTGTAATACTAAATTACTAGAGGTTGATGGAAAAAAAAAATATTCCAGGTGGGTTCTGAATGTAAATAGCAGATCCAACTTTAAAGTTTAATCCAAGCATAAAAAAGATCAGTCAAGAAATTTTGAAGAAAGGAAAACTTTAAAAAAGAGATGAGTTCAACTTTATATAGATAGATAGCTGGAGAGAGAGAGATGAGGACCAAGTCCATTTCATAAGTCTACTTTTTTTTACATGATCAAGCCCAAGGCTTAGATGCTTATTAGAATGAAAGTATCTTGTTACTCAAGAAACATACAAGTTGTGTCACAGAATGTCTCATAAAATGTTACATTGCTCTAATTTAGTTTTTTTTTCAATTAATGGTCAGATATATATCATAAACTAATAAAAGGAAATGAATAAAATCAAACTATCAAAGTAAATCTTTCATTAACGGCTAAAAGGAAGAAGTTACCAACCAACTGAACTTTTGGAATAAATGGAGTTGATGTTCCTAGAAACCAATCGTAGCTAGCTAGATCCTGTGTATTTAATATATATATGATCCCTTAAATAAAATCTTTTTTTTTCATAGCTAACAAGAAAGAATTGTACCTTGCTTAGATTTGAGAAGTAATCCACATTGAGAGGAGACACATTTGTAGAACTATTGGCTTCATCTGAGGCAAAGGAGACATGTTGATCATCTGTTGTACCATGGTGCATTGGTGTCCCTTCAGTGACTTCGGAAGAGGAAGCATCAGATAGAATTCTGGAAGTATCCTGATCATAGGTCTCTTCACCAACCTCTCTCCTCTGAGAGATGACATTGCCACTTGTGTCATCGCCTAATAAACCCTCTCGTTCATTGTTGAGCCAGTGTAACTCCTCAGAGCACCCATTTTGTTCTTCTTTAGTTTTGGGTACTTGAATTGTTTTCTTGAAAACCCGGCATAATGCATAAGCATCCTGCATTCCAGCCAATCTCAATGTGCTTTCCACAGAAAGTTGATGATCTAAAATATATATATATAGATATATATAAAGTTCTTCCAACCCTCAGGATAATAATTAGTCTTAAAAATGAATATACGGTGTAGTTTAATTGATTAAACGTAACATTTTGAAAGAAACGCAGCAACTGGACTACAGACTTCCGAACAGACTATTAGGTCAATCCATTACAACACTTGAGAGGTGAGTGTGGGTACATTGGTTAATACAATCAATTGGACTCTAAGCAGTCCACTCTAGGTGGGGCCTATCAAATTGTGCTGGGATCAATCCCCTGAACTAGTCTAAAATTGTTGGATCTTTTGATCAGATATCTTAGGTCAAAACCTGGCCACCCTATATATCTCTGCTTCTCTCTACAGAGAAATGGTCTTATGATGAACTAGAAAAGTTTACTAGGTTATTTATTCATTCCCAATATGGTTAACTATATATGTCCCTAGCTAGAAGCTATATAACTCTGATGCACAAACTACTCTACCAGCAAAGCTTCTCAATTAAGATGTACATCTCCCATGNNNNCCACCACCACCACCACCACCATCACCATTACAATATAATCACTCTTCGCATCAAAGAAAGAGAGAGAAATTAAAGAGAGAAAAAGAAAGGTCCCCATGGCTTCTATTTTAATACTTTAAATTAAAGGGTTCACTTGCTTACTATAATGAAGAAATTAAAGCCAATATGCTTATTCTATATAAAAGTCCATTATTTTCCCTGAGATCACTCACTCATATAACCATCAAAAAGAAAAGGTGATAAAACGAAACCACCAAACCCTAATGCTCTCCATCTAATTAAGTATATATACACACACTCCCTCAGGATAAAAGTGCTTTTGTTTTCATGCATGCATGATTGTTGTAGTATGGATGATCCATCCATCCACACTAGTGTGAAAGTGGATGCATGACTAGAGACTAGTCTTCTCCAGCTTGAACAGTCGTCACCCATTAATGGTGCGATATGATGTGGATCCGGTCAGTGTCTTTGTCATTGCAATTTGGTGCTTTAATTTAAATCTTCATGTTTTGCTTTCCTACAGTTCATCCACTACTCAAATCTTTTCTTTCTTTCTTCTACTGGTAAATATATAAAGACTAAAATGCGCTTAAATCTGGAAGTGCAATCATACCCTTAACGCCGATGATGAAGAAGATCCAGGTTCAGAGACGGAGTCGGCTAGACGATACTCGTGCATCACCCAATTGGTACGGATTCCATGAGGAGCCCGTCCTCTGTAATACACCAATGTCTTCTTCATGCCCACTGGGCGCTTGTGAGAATGCACCATCCGATCCTTCCCTGTTGCCTTCCAGTAACCAGCTCTGGTTGCTCGATTGGTTCTTGAGCCATTAGGATACTTTCGATCTCTTGGGCTAAAGAAATACCACTCCATATCTTTACTTGGTAGATATGACTTGTCTGTGATCGATGAAGCAAGATAATAAGATTCAGACTGTTGATTAGGTGATGAAAAAGTGTAGAACAAACTCATATGCTACTATTACAACCGACATCAATGTTGTATATAACAAAGTTCGGACTGCTGTTATTCAGTTAGCAAATATCTTACCTGGTAGCTCCCACGGCTCACATTTGTAGAGATCAACCTCTGGGATAATTTCCAGTTCAATTGTCCGGCCGTGGACTTTTCGATCAAGGTAGTATGCGACGAGCTCCTCATCTGTTGGGTGGAATCTAAATCCCGGAGGGAGAGTCACGGGTGCCATTCTAATCGCACAGAATATAATTGAGACACCCAGAAAGACACAAAGAGGGAATTAGGGATCGATAGAGAGAGTGACAGAGACAGAGATGCAGAGATGGAAAATTGAGTAAGGGGGAAGAAGACAGACTTATAAGCAGGTGGCTGGCCTCGTACCAAGTTCAAATAAATAGCCTACTGTTTGAACGAAAAGAAGAAAATACTCCCTTGGTTTTCTGATCTGGTTGTTACATATGAACCACTGTGTCTTAAAAACAATGATCCAGAAAGTAGGCTCTTACGTGTAAATGTGCTGTCAACATAAGGATTGGAATCCATTGCCAGATCTGAAAAGATGATGACAAATATATATAGAGGAAACTGAGATTAAGAAAAATGGTGGTATACGTGGTGGGTATTATGGTATTGCATGGATTCCAATCCGACAGTTGACAACACGTCTGCATGCTTTGTGAATCATTTTCCACTTGATAAATCAAAATGTTAATGTAAAACGGTGCAATGGCTGTAATTTTGAGAGCAGGATAGGGTTTTTTTTTTTTGAAACCTAGCTGCAGGGAGTACTTTGGCTTTTCTAGATTCCAAGTGTGACGTTTTGTGTGAAAACCCACAAGGAGGATAAGAAGCTTCTCTGCTTTTGTCTGCTCACAAACTAACAAAATCAGAGGCCATCCTAAAAGGTTGTGTGGGCCATCCACCGCCCCTTACCCTACACACGCAATACTAGGCCCTCCCAATTAAAATAATAATTTTACTATTTAAATTAAAATATAATATTTTTATATTATTGTACCATTTATAGAAATGTTAAGTTTATACTGTAAAAAATATGCAATCCCATCTTTTTATGCATCTTACATATATACAGCACATGAGAGAAATGGGGTTTCTTAGTTTTCTTTTCCTAGGGTGGCAAAAGCTGATTTTGGGGTCATTTTTAACCAAATGGTTGTAATTTATAATGATCAGTTTGGTTGATGCATGGGGGAGTGTAATTAAATAGGTTGATGAGTTACTTTTGTTTTATGTTATTGATTTTGTTAAATGGGGTAGGAAGTTAGATGATGTAATCCCCATTTTAAACGAGGTAGGTAGAGATACAAAATTTGCAAGGCTGATGAATGCAAATGATGATAGAAGGAAAAAAAAAAACTAAAAATTTTGTATTAAGTATGAGAGCAAATCATAATTATAATAAATAAACGGATGTTAAATTAAAATTAAATACAAAATTTGTATCCATTTCAGATTTGCATTGCAAACCAACAGAGCCTTAAGGATATCAAATCCTTCTTTCAGGCCCCTTTATGGAGGAATCATGCATGATGACATTCGTCCCCCAACTGAATGGATTGAGTAGCTTTTGTTTCTATTATATTTTAAGCTAGCTAGCTATATATTATTCTTTAAATAGTTAATGGTTACAAGTTATAATGATTCAATTAATGGAGCTAGTGGGAAAATTAGCAGAGACTAGAGAGGCTATTGAACTGAAACTTCTATATCTTTTCAATTAAAGGTGAGAATGTTTTTTCAGCCCTTCCAAATGAGTTTGGAGCTCCAAAGTACATTGGATATTTTCTTTTAAGTTTTTAAACCAATTGAGCTGAAGCAATGGGCAATATTTAAAGAAACAATTTTTTTTTCAAGTCTAATTACCTAGAGATCACATCTGCTTTTTTAACCCCAAATTTTACTCTAGGTGGAGGGGTGGCCATTTTATAATTTTATTAACCGTTATCAAAAAGATGAAAGAAAATTATAGAAAAGACACCATCCACGGTACCCTAAAAATAATTAGTACAAATATCTCTCTTTTAAGCTCAATACTGGTCATTACAAACTAGAAATCAAAAAATAAACAAATTTAGGCTGCATTTGGCATTCCTTATTTTAAGGATTTATCTTCTTTTTTGCAGTTAAAATGCCTAACACTGAGTTTTTAACTGCAAAAAGAAGATAAGTCCTTAAAATAAGGAATGCCAAATGCAGCCTTAGATAAGCTTGAGATAGATCACCAACAAAGTTATGGGTTGAAATAGTGAAAACTTATGTGAGAGCCTATATGGATATGAGAGTGAATAGACTGGAATAACATAACAGAATTCATATACTGGCCCCTTATAGTTGGGATAAAGCTTAGATGGTGAGGATGATGATGACAACGACGACGATCAACAATGATGACTGGTATAACATAGCAAAAAGTGTCAAAAGATGAAGAACAAATCGTCAAAATTAACCCATCAATAAAGTATGGCAAGAGGATCATTATCATTCAGCCTTCATTGCTAAATGATCAAACTGACCTAGTCCATCTATTGTAATGCCATGTTGGTGTATTCACCAATATATTCTCTTTATTACCCAAGATGAAATTCTAAAATAGACAAGAATGGGTAGAATGAGAAAATATTGCTATAAACCAAACACTTTTTTTACTTCTACTCTTGAGGTGCAGAATTTTCTTCTTGTTATAGTTATTTGAAATGTTAATTTCCCTTCTTTCCAGATTTTTCAACTGCTAGACTTGCTAGTTTTTATCCTAGCTATTGCTTCCAAAACTATTCTACCGTAATTTACATGAAAAAAAAAACGAAAAACTGTTGAGTTAGATATAGATATCAAAATGAAAACAAACTAACAATAATAACTATACCTGTTGGCATGACCATAGACTTATAATATACAAAATTGATAAAGAAAACAAACTGATCTAAGTCTAGTGTGTTCATATATATGTTTATGACATGGCCTTGACCAAGACAAATTTAATAATGTAGTATGATATTTATGATATTTTTTAATTAAATATTTTAACTATATAAATTTAAATGAACAAAGTGCAACATATAGCCAGAGATAACGTAAACAAATAGATCTTCAGATTCAAGTTTTAAGTGCAGCCCTTTAAATCCAGCTCTGGCTCACTTACAGCAAACTGATCGGGCAGACAGCCTTACAAAGTATTTTTGGCTAGGGCCGCAATTCAAAAAGGATAGCTTCATATGAGGAGGTGCTTTATAGTTTAGACCAGTGGATTGGTTTCACATAGGGCTTGTGACAACATATATAGCTAGGGTAATGTACATGTGATTTAATCATATTCCATTAATCTAACAACAAAAACAATATCTCCTTATAAAACTTAATTGCTTTTTTTCTTTTTTGTATGATGAATAATTTCTAAACTAAAGTATAAAATTAGGGCAAGAATCGATCATAAGGTATTTGCTCATATAACTATCAATCAAAATTGTTCAATTTGTCATCAGCAGAAGGTACCCAAAAAGAAAATAATCCTAATTATACATGTATAATTAATTCCCTTATTCTTTAGATTTTCTACTCTCTAATAACTAGAAAGATTAATTGGGTACTAATATTCTGATTCTTATTATTTATTTATATATGTGACAATGGCATTGCATAATTAATCAGGATTTCCCAAGTGAGTTATGGCAAATTAAACCCCAATCATTTAATTTTCATAAAATGAAGTTATATATTAATGGTATGATGAGTTGGTGGGGCCACATGGAGGGCATATGTATATGTTTTGGGTGGGGTCCATCAAACTTTCCTCTCCTTTTCATTATTATATTCTAAGGATAGAAACACTTTATCATGGGGTTACAACTCGGTCGCCCCATCACCAACTGAGCAAGACTATCTGGCACACCGGCCCCTCCCCTCCCCTCCCCTTCTTCTTTCTCTTTTTCATCATCTAACTTTTTCTTTACTGTTTTTTTGTTTACGAGTGCCCTTTATTTTTGCTTTGCTTTAAAATATCATTTTTACATATCGGTAAAGACACATTAAGCACTTTAATCATTACGATACAATCTTTGACTGGTCCTCAGCTCGCTCCCACACACACACACAGCTCCGGTAGATCCTCTCCCTTACCTTCTCTCTATATACAAAATATAAACCAAACCCCTTACGTGGAAAGATAAGCATTTTCTGTTTCTCCTCTCCCTCAGACTCTAATCAAGAAAGATGCATTCAGACATGCATAAATCATGTGTTCCTACCAAAGTTATACATTTATATTATGTGAAAGACATGCCAACCTTTACTTGGTTCTCTCTAGCTTTGGTGGGCTCTCTACCTTTAGTGGGCCCCTTGAGTTTTAGAGTTTTACACCTCAAAACAGGAGAGGGAGAGGGAGAGGGAGAGAGAACTAGACCTTAAAATAAAATAAAATCAATATGAATTATGAATGAATGAATGAATGAATGAGGGAAGGGGGGAGATGGGGCTTTTGCCGAAAGCCCCTTTTCACCTTTACCAACCGTCCTAGACATTATTTACTGCATCCACAACCATAAGGTTGTTTGTGGATTATGAAGAAGCTAGCTTTTCATTTTTGCATAAAGAGATTCCAATGGCATGCAACTTCTTTCTTTTAGGAATGAGAAGTGGTACTCAGTCATCTGTTACTAAAGAGACTTAACTTGAATCAGCAATAACAAGACAACAGCGTTACTTTGATTATATTGCAGATGTTATGTGTTCTAGCCTCTAGGTGTGTGTGTGTGATGGCAGATGGACTATCGGTTGCTTCAAATTTTGCTTTCCTGAATCTTAATGAGTTTCAAAGACATGTTCCCTTTCCCACAGTCTTAGAGGATAAAGAGATGTCGATGGTAACATGGAGGTTGGCTAGAGCACCAGATTCTCAAATAATGGTCGGCTATGTGTTGCGTGCAAAGACAAGTAAGCAGATTCTTCATGCATTGGCAGTATTAACTATGAGATGTAGTGTTCATGGGATGAGATGGAACCTGCTAAAAAGAGAGGATTGGATCTTCTTTTGTTTTTGTCCCTTTTTAGATCTTTCATATGCTGTTGTTGAATATGTCTTCTAGGTCACTAATCCAAAAGTTTTGGGCCTACGTTTTTTTGTGAAGTTATTAAACCAACAAATTTTGAGGTTACTTGATTGGATGTGAGGTTGCATTTAAATATTAGCAAGAACATAAACATGATTTGGTGTATGGATTTAACATTATAAGCTTTCTAAGGAAGCAATTAATAATTAGATTTTTGTTTCAAAGAAATAAGTGACCGATAAACATGTATGTGCATTGCACGTGACAATTTCAAAGGATGATGATGACGATAAAATTTTAGTGTATTTATCAAAATCCATGTAAGGAATGC